TGTGTGCACTGGGGGGATGGGAGCAGGGGGGATTCCCTGTGGAAACCACAGACCTGAGAGGGTCTGCCCCAGCCTGAACGGGACTGTTTGGATGATAGGATCAGTGTGGATTATCGGATCAGTGGGATCCAGGGTCTGCTCTGCTTTAAAGGGGTTTAAGCTCGCTGATTTGACTGCAGCACTGCTGCTGTATCCCAGCTGGATCCCGTGGGCACAGGGCAGGAGGTGCCCCTGCCCTCTGGGCACCAGCTGAAACCCAGTGTGTGTTCAGAGGCTCCAGGGCTGCTCTCGGGGTGCCTGTGGTGATGGGTGTGGAAATGGGGCTGAGTTAATGCCAAGAAATTCGGGCTCTGTCTCCAGACATTGTCCCCCAGAGCTGGCTGAGCCCGAGCCAGGCTCCAGCTCTGGTGCAGGCAGAGGCCACAGGAGCAGAGGCTGACAGAGTTCAGTGAGTTGGGGATTTCTTCGAAGGACATGGTTTGAATCCCATGAACCTTTCAGGAACATGATGTGAAAGGATCTTTAACACCGAGTTCCTCAGCGTGTTCCCAGATAAACAAAAAGAAGGGAACAGAAGAAATGATCTTGATACACGCATGAACTCTTGGAAATTCTCTTTCTGCTGTGAATGCTTTCTAGAGCTGGAGGCTTCAGGTTCCAAGCTGTTCCTCCCTTCTCCATTTGTCCACGTACAAGCTGGCCTCTCCAGCTCCTCTTCTCCTTCCAGCAGCGCTCTGATGATTCAGTTTCCAAAACATCCCCCAGCCATAGCACAGCCCTGCCCAGAGCCCAGGCAGGGGTCGTGTGTTGGGACAGGAATGCTGGGACTGACTGTGGGCTGCAGTTTTACTTCTCATTTTTGATTTTCTATGATCAATCTGAGGACTAGTTTTTCAATTTGATTTTTATCTTTTTTTTCCTTTTTTGTTTTTTAAACTAACGAAGAACTGCCACGGCCAGAGCACGGTTCAGGTGGGTGATGTGGTGGGTGACATGACATTATCCAGGAGTGTAACTGTCCACACAGCATGTTTAGATGGAGGTATGTTACCCCTGGTAAGTGAACTCAGTAACACAACGAATTTTGAGTAAGTTTTGGGACCACATAATTCTATGCATTGCTGGTATTTCCACGGTTTGTCTCCAAAGCCTTGTTGCCTTCAGTACAGAACATTTTACAGTATTGACTCTGTATTCCTCTGGAAATCAGCACAACCAGCTGGTGAGCCATGGAGAAAGTTGATATCTGACCTGGGGATTCAGTCACATGCACATTTAAGAAAGACACAGAAAACCTGTAATTTACTCTGGCCTTCCTGTATTCCCAGGCCTCACGTGAGGCCCCCAACCCTCCCAGCTCTGTGTTACACATGGAGATGCCTCCTCCAGGAAGGTGTGTGTGTGGGGCTGCTCATTGCTCTAGTTCTAGTGAATTTACCAAAACTGGCCTTCTTGCAGGCTGAGTGCAGCGGGTGAGGACCAGGAAAATTTCTTGGATAAAGAGAAATTCCCATGCAAAAGCAGCCAGATAAAATATCCCTGCTCTGCAGCCTGCAGTGCCTGCTGTGGGCCACAGCCATACACACGAGTTCATGGGCAGATGCAGCTCCATCTGCAAAGCCATGGCCTGGCCTTGACGTTCTGCCAGACCTCTTGTGTCATGGGGACCGTAAAGTTGGGATTCCAGATAGCTATTGGAAAAACAGCTATTTCAGATTCAGCAGTAAACCAACATGCAATTAAATTTAGCTTTATGTGGTGTTTGTGCTTTTGATTATCCCAAAGCATGTGTTTTTAAAATAAAAATGTTTCCAGCTCTATGGCATCCCTGGATGTTTAAAGCTGGAAGGAGCAGGGGATGACTCAGAAAACCCTCTGATTCTCACAGGATTCTTTGCTTTAAAACCACGTGAGTTTGGGTGTTGGTTGTGGGGCAGCTGCAGCTTTGCCTGAATAAGGACTGAGGGGCTGCAAGGGACCATGAGCATGTCTGGCTGCTGGGGGCCAGTGCACAGAGCTGGCAGGATGACCCAGGGAAGGGCAGCGGGAGCTGGGTGTTGTCCTGAGCTCCCACATCCCATTGGCTGTAGGTGGGACATTTACCATGGCAATTCCCTCCACTCTCTTCCCACTGCAGATGAGAGGAATGGCATTAAAACCTTAGGGCTGGATCCTTTCATGTGACCCTGACCAGACCCACCCAAAGCCCACGGAGAGGGTCCCTGGGGCCAAGCTCCAGCTGTGGGGCTGCCTCCCCCCATCACTGGGCCTGGGGCTGTGCCAGTGCAGCAATCACTTCGTGTTCAGCAAGTGCCTCTTTCCTGAGCCCCTTGTGGGTTTAATACTGGGTAATTTATGTGAGAAAGTGGCATATGGAGAGGATGATTAAACCTTGTCCGTCTCTTCTTCTGCTACGAGGGAACCCCCAGCAGTGCTGGCTCCAGTGCTGGTTTCCAGTAGCAGAACCAAACCTGTCCCACAGTCGACATGCAGCAGGCAGCAACTCCACACAACCAGCAGTAAAGCATTTTAATGTCCCCCAGTGACAGTGTTACTGTCCTCGTGGGCCAGAAGGTTGGACTGGCTGGATGGCTCCAGGAGCCTCAGCCAACCTGGGCTCGGGCCAGCGTTAATTGCCCAAATTAACGTGTGTCGGTGCTGTGAGCTGAGTTCCTGGGGCAGGTAACAGTCCTTGCAATTGCAGGGGGAATTCAGGGGTTTTTTTTCAGCATTTTGGGATCTGGGATGAAATAAGCCAGGACCTTGGCTGAGAACCCCATGGAAGGGGGATTTCTGGGACCCCTTGGTCCTTGCAGCCTGCCCTGGGTGGGGGCACTGTGGGGAAGCACAACCCTGTGTCCAGAGCACCACGTGGACCTGAGTGAAGCTGGTGGGGACAGGGGTGAGGTTCAGCCCTGCAGGGTCCCTGTGCTGCTGTCCTGGCACTGTGGGGCTGGGCTGTGCCTGGAGCACCCAGGCCCAGGCTCCCATGGCACTGCTCCCACCCAGCTCAGTCCCTGCCCCTGGCTGGAGCCAAACCCTTACAGTAAAACTAATGAAACCCTTCCATGGCTTGGCCTTTTAACCCCAAATTTCAGTCCCCAGGCTTGTGATCCTTCACCTCAACTGTGAGCACTCACTGAGCTGCTCATGCACTCTGAGTCAGCACAGGGCACGCCGGAGAACATGGCCCTGGGAGCGTGTGGCATTGGCACAGGGAGAAACAGAATAAATCCTTGGAGAGCTCTTCCCCAGCTGAGCACCTTGGACTGGCTGCTGAAATCACATGTATTTCACAATTACAACCCCTCCTGGAGGTGCTCTGCTGCCACGTGTAGGAGCTGCACAAGGGGCGTGGGGCTCCTTCGAAGTGGTTCAGGTGTGGTCTGGGAAGGAGCTGGGCTCTGTGCAGCTGTGAATGATCCTCCTCAGAGGCCAAAGAGGGGTGATGGCTGCTCTGCCTCACCTGAGGCAGCATCTCACCGTGCTCCACCCCACCTGGGTCCTCAAGCACATTTCCACCCCTCGGTGCCTGTAAGATGCTCAACGAGCCGTGCAGAAGCCAAGGGCAAACCTCTCCTTGCCTCCACTGGAGCCACGGTTTCACCCCAGTCACCTCCTCGTCCAGAGCTCTCCCAAAAAAGGCAGAACAATAAAAAAAGCATTGCACATGGTGAGCTGTGATCCGCAGCGATTCCCACAGCAGTTTTATTGCCTGAAGGAGGAAGAACGTGAACCCTGGAGGGAAGAACTTGCCAAAAGTATTTAACATTTCTACATCCTGCGCTCAGCTAAGGTTCCCAAAAATCTTTAAAAATAACTCCAGGGATATTTGTTCAGGGCCTAAGGCCGGGCTGAGCAGGATTTGAGATGTGGCTTTAGAGGAGGGGGCATGGGGGTGATGCTGGGGGCCTTCAGGGCCAGACCAGGCAGGTCCCTGCTGGAGACGCCTTTTTGGTTTGAGGGTCTGGGAGTGACTCAGTGGCAGCTGCCACTGGGCTGAGGGGGGGCTGGGTGGGTTTGGTGCTCCTCTGAACATCCCACCTGCGCTGTTAGGTCCCATGTTCCTTGCAGGGAGCCTGAAAGCAGTGGAGAACCAGTGAACTGTGCTGATGATGGGGGCAAATGGTGTCGCACACAGCCACCTCTCCTTCCTTTATAGAAATAATACTCTGAAATAATCCTCCTGAAAGAAAGGTGAAGTTCTTGGCGGATGTTTTAACTGTCAAGTGACTGACGCAGGAGCCTGCTCCTTGGACGAGGCTGGGCTGGGAGGTACGCGGGGACATTCCCTGCGGGTCCATTCCCTGCGGGTCGTGCTCCAGCAGCTCCGGTGGGGCAGGGCTGTGCTGAGAGGTGAGCCCGGGACGGGGGGAGATGAGCCCGGGACGGGGGGAGATGAGCCCGGGGCGGGGAGGTGAGCCCGGTGAGCGCTCCCCCGTTCCGTCTCTGTGCCCGCCCTGCCCCGGACCCCGCCCGGCACCGCGGCCTCTCCGCCGCTCCCCGCGCGGGTGGGACCGGGGCTGCGGGGGCACGGGGGCTGTGGGGAGCGGGGCTATGACGGAACAGGGGTGCGGGGGATGACGGGGCTGCCCGGGGGCTGCCGGTGGAGAGGCACCGGCCCCCGCCCCGCCGCTGGTGCGTGAGCGGCCGCGCTCCGGAGCGGGCGCGGGGGAAGATGCTGAGGCGGGTCCGGGTGCGGGGCCAGCGGCTGCGGGCGGACCCCGAGGGGCCGGGCCGGGACCCGCCTCTCTCCACCGCCCCCACCGCTCGTCCGGCCCCTGCGCCGGGGCTTGTGGCGGGGCAGGGGCCAGCGGAGACGCCGAGTGCCCGGGGAGGGGACAGGGAGGAGCCGCGGGGAGCCGCCACCCCGAGGACGGGGACGGGGACACGGACCGGGAGCGCCGGGCAGAGAGAGCGACACGGCTGCGAGGGGACCCGCAGGGGACACAGAGAGGGGGAACACGGAGAGCGGGTGGGATACTGAGAGCCGAGGGGACACGGCGAAAGAACGCCCGGGACTCCCGGCTGCCGCAGAGGGACGCGGTCGGTAGAGGCTCTGCCCACCCTCTGCCCCCTCTCTGCCCTCTCCCTGCCTCAGGCTCGATGCGGGTCGGCGCTGGCCATGGAGAAGCTGTACCTGGCGGGGAGCAGCGCCTGGACCATCAACAGCTCCCTGGGGAACGGCAGCCTCCGGCCGGAGAACCTGAGCGCCGGCAGGAACAGCACCGCCGACCCCCTGAAGAGGAACGAGGACATGGCCAAAGTGGAGGTGACGGTCCTGTGCCTCATCCTCTTCCTCGCCCTGACGGGCAACCTGTGCGTGCTGCTGGCCATCCACACCACCCGCCACAAGCACTCCCGCATGTACTTCTTCATGAAGCACCTGAGCATCGCTGACCTGGTCGTGGCCATCTTCCAGGTGCTTCCCCAGCTCATCTGGGACATCACCTTCAGGTTCTACGGGCCAGATTTCCTCTGCCGCTTGATCAAGTACTTGCAGGTGGTGGGGATGTTTGCTTCCACCTACATGCTCCTGCTGATGTCCCTCGACCGGTGCTTGGCCATCTGTCAGCCACTGAGGTCACTGCACAGAAGAGCTGACCGTGTCTCTGTCCTCCTCACCTGGCTGCTGTGCCTGCTGGTCAGCATCCCTCAGATCCACATATTTTCTCTGAGGGATGTGGGGAATGGGGTTTATGACTGTTGGGCAGATTTCATCCAGCCCTGGGGACCAAAAGCCTATGTCACTTGGATCACCCTCATGGTCTACATCATCCCTGTGTTGATGCTGAGCGTCTGCTATGGCTTAATCAGCTTCAAAATCTGGCAGAATGTGAAGCTTAAGACGGCTCACGGGCCCAGAGTGGGTCTGGGCTCAGGCTCCCGCAGTGGGATGGTGTTTGCCAGGGTCAGCAGCACCAGACTCATCTCCAAAGCCAAGATCCGGACAGTCAAAATGACCTTTATCATCGTGCTGGCGTTCATAGTGTGCTGGACTCCCTTCTTCTTCGTGCAGATGTGGTCTGTGTGGGACACCAACGCCCCGCAGGAAGGTACGGCCTCTCCCCTCCCTCGCCCTGCCGTGCATGGACAGCTCTGCCCGGGGCCCTGGGGATGCCCGCAGGGGAAACTCTGCTCCAAGCTGGATTTTGGGGGTGGGAGGGGAACGGGAGGCAGTCCTGAACGTGGATAACCCCCCTGACAGGCAGCAGTAGCTGTGCTGGGGCTTCCCTGGGTCGGGGGCTCCCTTAACCCTGGCGAACTCAGGGCCAGTGTGGCTCAGGCGCCAGGCTGTGTGGATGGGGATGCCTGTCCCTAGGGGTGACTGTCCCCAGGTGCTGCTCTCAGCTCTCATGGAGCCCCTCTGAGGTCTCTGGAGATTCACTGGCCACGCTGGGTGCTGGGTCACCCTGGGGGCTGCGTGGGAGCTCAGGAGAAAGCTGTGCAGCCTGGCTTCCCTCCCTTTGCTCCATTGTTTTCTCCTCGCTGACTTCTTTGCTTTCTACTCCTTTGCCCTCTTCTCCCCCTCTTCCTGCTCCACACCTCGGGACTGTGCTGCTGTCCTTTTACCTCTGACTAGAGCATGGCTCCCACAGAAAGCCTCTGATTTACGGGCAAAGCCTTCTCCTAAAGGATGTGGTGTCGGGGATTTGCCATTTCTTATAGCTTGGGCTGGCTGCTCCTGTCACCCAGGAGGTTGCTGGTAGAACAGAGCACATCCCCCTCTCTGGTTTGACACGGGTGGGTCTGTGCAGGTCTGTGCTGTTCCCCAGCAGAGCTCCCCTCGGGTCCCTCTGCCCCTGCAGGGAGAACCACGCAGGAGAGCTGAAACTTAAACTCTGCACAACTCTGTGAGGTAGGAGAGGGGATAGAAAAGTGTATTCAGGGATGAGAACTCCTCAGGTAGACTGACCTGGGCTCAACAGAAATCTGGGAATGCCAAGGAGTGAGGAGGAGCTGCTGCCTCCCGGCCCCCCCAGCCCTGCTGTGCCCAGGGCTGTGCAGTGCAGGGCACAGCTGCCCCCAGAGCACAGCCCCTCACACCAGCCACTCTGCCCTTCCTTAATCCTATCCCAGCTGGACTGTGCTCTTGGAAAACCCAATGTCTCCTGCAGCCTGTGCACATCTCTTCCCCCCAGGCCAAACTGACTGAGAGCTAGAGCCAGGCTGGCTTGTTCTGCCTCTGCTTCTCTCTGATCCTTTTATTCTGGGAGTGGAGTGTGGCTTTTTGAACTTCCCTGGATAATCCAGGCAGCCAGCCCTGGGTTTTCCACCTGATTTAGGCTCATCAAAACTTTGAGTTCCCAGATGGGCCCTGGGCTGAAGCGCTGGCTCTCTTGTGCTGGATTTTAATCCTGCACTCTCAAGGGCTTCCCCTTCCTCAGCAGCACCCAAAGGTCCCCAGCACCCAAAGGTCCCCAGCACCCCAACCTCTGCTGCTTTCCTGACCCTGCAGTGGAGAGGGGGTGGGTGGGATGTTCACCCATCCCATCCTGCCTGCTGCACTGGGAAACATCCCTTGCTCACCCTGTGCCTGTGGCCTCGTGTTCCCTTTTCCTTTCCCTTCCACTTTTCTTTTCTCTTTTGTTTCTTCTCTCCTTTGAGGTATGAAGGGAAGCTCCAGCCCCCCTGAGCTGCCCCACACTCCCCTCTCTCACGTTCCTGTGGCCAGGCAGCCCGTGTCTGCGGCACAGGGTGGGAGCTCTGCCAGGGCACTTGATGGAGCTTTCAGGCCGTGGGGAGGAAAAGCCTGGCGTGGGTTATTGTGGATAGCAAGTGCTGGAAGACCCAAGCCCTTCCTCCCATGCCCTCCTCCCCCTCACTGGCTGCCCAGAGGCACGAGAGGGGTGGCAGGGTCTGACCTGTCTGCAGAGGACACAGCCTTTGTCTGCAGCATTCCCACAGCTTTGCCCCGATCCTGGATCCCCTCCCTTTGCCAAGGCTCGGGTGCTGTGGCTGGGCAGCATGGCAGGTGGCCCTGCCAGGGCACAGCCTCCACTTCTGCCCACCCCTCTGGGCACCCCCAGCCTGGAGTGGGGGACGTGGGGAGAGAAAACATCCCTGAGGGGCAGAGCTTGCCGGTTGCAGCACCCCTCGGGAATCTCCAGCATTCCAGCCTGAGAGGGGACCAATCCACCCTCTGGACATGCCCTGCAGTAAGCTCCCTGAAATTCAATTTGCCTCCTGCAGAGAGGGAAGAGCTGAGTCAGCCTGGCTGGATGTTTTTAAGTGGATAGAAATGCTGTGGTGTATTTCAGGTCTTGTGCCTGGGATTTGTAGCCATTCCCTATGGAATTATTTTAGCATATGCTTGAAATTCAAAGTGGTTGGAGCAGACACCAATAGAGCAGGAATTATGCATCCATTGGCTAAAAGTGAATTTGGAAGCACTCATATTCACACTTCTTCACTCGTTGAAGAACTGCTGGTGGATCTTTGCAGAGGCAGGAAGGGACCAGGAGCAGCCAAACCGCCGTGTGTGTCCTCACTGCTGGCGCTCCCCTGGGAGCAAAGGAGCCAGGAGATGGGCTGGGAGACTGGGAGCAGGACAAAGGCTCCATCCCCACCTGCAGCCACTTCACTGAGAGGCTGTCCCACCTTGTCCTGGGGCCATGGTAGGTGCCAGTCCTACGGCCCCCTTGTCACAGGAGGTGCTGATCCAACCTCTCAGGTGGGACAGTTGGTACTTTATGCTCTGGGCACAGAGAGCAGCAGCCAGAGACTTGATGTCCTGGAACTGTGCTGCCACCATCCTCCTGGTCTCAAATGTCACCCCTGTGGCCAGGAGCCATTGCCAGGCTCCTGGACTTTGATCCTGCTGTGGGAATGGCTGTCATCTCCCTTGGCAGAGTGCAGTGTGAGAAAAATAAATTTTGGGGAAAGAAAGATGCCGGGAGAAAGATGCTGTGGGAGCTCCAGGCAAAAGTCCTCAGACGTGGCACTGTCTTACCAGTCAGGGTTTGGCAGGAGGAGCAGCCCAGGAACCGGGATGACCTGGGGCTGGGGGAGCGTGGCTGCCACACGGCCTGAGTGGATGGAAGCTGCTTG